AATGAAACTTCATACTCTTTGGTCCTTTACTTCTTTCTCCCAGCTCCTGAAAACCACCAACCTGCTTTATGTCTCTGTTGACTGACTTATTGTGGATCTTTCCTATGAAGGGAATCTTTTGTGACTGGCTTCTTCCTCTTAGTATAATGCTTTCAAGACTCCTCTGTGTTACAGTACTTTATTTTCAAATAATATTTAACTCATGATACATATTTCATCTTTCTTATCATTATTTCATGGGCATTTTGTACTGTTTTTCATTTTTTGGCTTTTATGAATAGGGTTATTATGAACATCTGTGTTCAAATTTTGGCATATGTATATATGCTTTTCATTTTTCTTGGTTACATACTTAAGAGTAAAATTTCTGGGTTTTGGAAAACTGTTTAAGGTTTTGAGGGACTAATACTTTTCCACAGCTGTATCATTTTACATTCCTATCATCAGTAAACAAGGGCTCAGTTTTTCCATATCCTCACCAACTCTGGTTATAGATGACTTTTATTTTAGCCATTGTATTTGGTGTGAAGCAGTATTTCATTATGGTTTTCATTTGCTGTCCTTAATTACTAATGAATGTTTATTAGCCATTGCTTTATCTTCTTTGAATAAATACCTATTTAAATACTTTGTCCATCTCTTCAACTAGATTTTTTGGGGGGAGGGACACTGGGTGACCTCACATTTGTGAGGCAGATGCTGTGCTGCTGAACTATATCCCTGAACCTATATTTTGGTTTTAAAAGCAGTTTTAGATTAGTTTAGCAGAAACACTGAGGAAATGGGCACAGAATTCTTGTATTGTCAGGCTGTCTTCTCAGCCACCCACATCCTCACCTCATTTCTGTGTTGTCACTATTGAGGGGACTGTATGGATATATCATCATTATCTAAATTCCACAGTTTACGGTAGGGTTCAGTGTCAGTGTTGCAGATTCTATGAGCCTGAAAAAGTGTATAATGACATACATTATATGAAATATGTATTCATGAGTTAAATATTATTTGAAAATAAAGTACTGTAATAAAGTACTGTGTATTCACATTATAGCGTCATACAGACTGCTTTACTGTTCTAAAAGTCCGCTGTGCTCTACATATTCATTCCTCACTTCCCCAAACTCCTGGCAACTGATTTTTTTTCCAGCTGTCTCCAAAGTTTTGCTTTTTCCAAAAAGCTGTGTAGTTGGAATTATATCATATACAGCCTTTTCAAATTGGCTCATTTCATTTAGTAATATGCAAGGAACTTTTCTCCATATCTTCTCATGGTTTGACAGCTTATTTCTTTTTAGTGTTGAGTAACACTGTATTGTGTAAAAGTAGCACAGTTAGTTCACTTATCCACTACATGTTGTACTTCATCTTGTTTGCTCTTAAATTATTGCAAGTATGAATAAAGGTATTATAAATATCCCATTCAGGTTTTATTGTCAGTATGATTTCTTAATCCCATTTGAGCAAATACCAAAAGCATGATTGCTACATTACAAGGTTAAGAATCTTTTTTGTTTTGGAAGAATTGTCAAACTGTCTGTCAAAATGGCTGTGTATTTTGCTTTCCATCAGCAATGAAGAAAAGTTCTTAGTTTGCACACCTTCCCTGATAAGGTCTCACTATGTAGTCCAAGCTGGTCTCAAACTTGAATTCCCTGTCTTGGCCTCTCTGGTGGTGGGATTAAAACTGTGTGCCACCAGAATTATCTAATTTTTGGGGGGGGGGGTACCAGGGATTGAACTCACGACCTTACATTTGCCAAACAGGCACTTATGCTGCTGAGCTAAATCCCTGGCCTGATTATCTAATTTTTAATTTTTGAATTTAAAAGTTTTGTATGCATTGTCTAGACACAAAGTCCTTTATACTTTTGACTGCTGTGTTCCTTCAATTACTTTTTATCTTGAGGTCTCATTGTATTACTCGTGGCCAAATGGGAAGAGAATTATGTTGTTCTAAATGCTAGGGGATGTTGGGGAGCTAGCAAATCAGTGTTATTCCTCCAGCTCCTATACACCTATAGATCTTTCTACTCTTTAGAAATATACCTATAGTTATTTCTAATCTATGGATCTATCTTTTTAGAAACAAAGGTGGGAAAGACTATCTTTCAGCATGCTTTTTATAATTTTTAGTTTTGACTAAGTTATTCTGGTTCTTGATGTTTAATATTTAGGAACTAGTCTTTCAAAAGTCAAACTCTTTTTTCTGCTGCTCAAAAGCAGCAGAAAAAAAACTTTTCAGTTTGACTGAAAAGTCAAAATGCTCTGAGATCAGTTTTAAAATCTACTTTACATTGGGAATGGTGGCATACACCTGTAATTCCAGAGCTTAATCAGGAGGAAAGCAAGTTGAAACCTAGACTGGCAACTCAGTGACTTAGTGACAGGCGAGGGGTGTAGCTCAGTGTAAAGGCTCAGGGTTCAATCCTTAGTACAAAAAAAGAAAAAAGTACTACCCTACTATATCACATAAGGTCTCCTGAGAGCATACTTAAGTCTGGAAAGGGACAGGTTGCAGGGACAGAGGCACCCAGTGACAGGCACATAACTCTGAAGAGTTAACAGCAACTCAGAATCTTTTCACAGTCATGGTTTCTCATTTGTCCAGGGATTGTGTCACAAATGCAAGTGGCAGTAGTTGAAGGAGAGAGGAGAATCCAGTTTAATGACATCAAGATATTAAATAAACCCCAGGACCAAAAGCAGGTAGACCTCAGGAACAAACCTAATCAGAATCTCTAATGTAGTCTCCTTCTTCACCTTTTAAGGTCTATAAAACTGCTGAAAACTTACAGTTTTTGCAGTACCCAGTGGCAAAAGACAGTCTGACCCAGTGGCACATGACTATGATTGTAGCACTCAGAAGGCTGAAGCAGGAGGGTCACAAGTTGAAGCCCAATGAGGTTACATAGTGAGACCCTGTCTCAGAATTACTGTGTGTGGTGATAGCTTGAACTTCCTTTCTAAATCACAGTTCCAAAATTCCCAGAAAATAATATGCAGCTTCCCAACATAAAATCAATGCAATATGGCCAGGGGAAGGGGGGGGGTTTCTACTGTAAAGGCATAAACCTTTCTGTTGTTACCAGGTAGATAATGTGATGGGTAAAGGTAAAATTTCCAAAAGTAAGCAGTATGCTGGGCAGATACACTTGTTAACACTCTTGTCATTCTCGATTAGATGTATAGTTGGTGCCAACACTTCTTACACCAGCGTACACATACGACTTCCTCCACAGTCACAAGTCAATCTCTGCTTCAAACTGTGTCACTCTGTGACTTCCCCTACACTCTGAATCTGGCAGAGCCAGCCTATTTTTTCTTCTAGAATGTTCTATATTTCTCATGTTTTATGAGGCTTTGTTCATACTTACTTTTTCTGAAAGATATTTTTCTTGATAGTTGACCTTGGGATGTCTATAATCTTTTAGGTACAGCTCAGTGTTATATGAGAAGCATTTTTCCTAAAGTGGAACTTTTCCATCACATTTGACTATAGCTATCTAATTTGTTTCCTTCCTCTACCAATTTGTATAGTTTAAAAGTGAACTACAATTTGATGTTTATTTCAATGATGGCTTATCTTTGGCTGGAACATCACAGAAGTTCAAAAATATTCTAAATCTTTTATTGTTTTTCTCCCAGACCTAAATCATCCCAACACCCACCTCCCTAGACTATCAGCAAACTGTGAAAAGTGATTTATTTATTCTCAATCTTCATCTTTTATTTTTAAATTAAAATTAGACTATCTAAATGTAATATCATGTTATTTCTCCCTTACATTAAAATAAAAGTACCTTCCATGCACATCCTAATGAAAGATACAACACACGTCTTCCCATATCCACTCATCTTTAAAACAGAAGTGAATACTAACAAAAGACAAGTTAAAAAAAACCCGCAAATATTGAAGGTTGGGGCCGAGCGTTGGTGTATCAGTAATGGAGATAATATTCTGGTTCTGCTTTTGTAGTTTTAAATTATGTGTTTCTCAATGCCAATCATAAAACAGGCAACTGGCAAATCTCTCTGCCTTTCTGCGCACCCCGTTTCATTTCTTCCCTCCCCCTTTCCTCCTTGCAAAACCAAAGAAGAGTTGAGAGGCTCCCGCGAAGAAGAAAAGCACGGCCAGTCCCCTTCTCGGTCCTCTCTCTCTCTCTGGCTCCTTCTTCACATTGGATTTTAGCCCCGCCCCCTTCCTCCTCACCTGCCCATCCTCATCTGAGGTTTGTCTGTCATACTTTAATTTTACTGCAATTTGTAAACTCGTGGATAGGGAACGTATACTTTTAAATACGCGGGTTTTTTAAAAAAAATTACGGTCATTACAAATATAAACTAGTATTTTAAATTTTCCAGGTTTCTAAGCTAGTTAGAGTAAGATCAGGTAATTTTGACTACATTTTTTGAGGAAAATATATTCATTCTTTTTCGGTGGATTTTTCTGTCAAAATCTGTTTACCTTTTATACGCTTATTGAAGTCCGGAAAAAAAAAAGTCAGTAAAAGTCTATATATGTTTATTAAGCATTCCCAGGCGAGACTGAATTAAGAGGGGATGCGATGACAAGTTTTCTAAAGCTAAAGAAACCAATAACCAGTGTTAATGACTCTTATCACCTGTCACAGGATCTTAGCGATGTAGAACAGGAAAAGATTTTAAAAAGGAGACATTTTAAAATGAAAAATTCAAGAGAAGTGGCATTGTAAATGACTTTGAAAGAGGACACATCCAGGCACACTGTGGAACACTGCAAACCCCTGACGGACCCGCTGGCGGCTACAGCGGATTTCGGGAAGGCTCCGCCTCCAGGAACAATTTCATTGGCGCTCAGTCCACCAGGTGGCCCGGCCCGGGTCCCTCTTCCGCTTGAGCACAGCAAACCTGCTCCGCCTGGTCTTCCCGTCGCCGCCCCGCCCCAGAATTCTCGCCTCTGATTGGTCAATTTTACGGGACCGCCCCGTCGCTCGAACCAATGTGGAGGCCGCTCGCGTGTTCCGCCCATTCTGCTGGCGGTGTAGGATTGATCTTGCTACCCAGGCGGCTCGCGGGGATGGCGGCCGCAGTGGCGAGTGCGGGCCGGCTGCTGAGGCTCCGTGCGGCCCAAGCAGAGAGGCACTGGCGTCGGCTACGCGGTGCGGGTCTGGCTCAGGGCTTTCTGCAGCCTGCCTCCGCTGGCAAGGATGCGGTTCAGACGCGGCACGTGGCTCACTTCACTTTCCAGCCGGACCCGGAGTCCCAGGATCACGGTGAGCCGTGTCTGGCTGTCCAGTCCCGCTGCATCGCGTCCTCCCAGCCCTGCACGCCTCTAGAACCTCCTCTCCCAAAGGGCTGTTAAAATGCTTTCCTCGCTTAAATTTCAATGACCGCTCACACTGTGGGTGCAGCCCTTAGGCAATCTGAGTTGGGTGAGAGAGCATACTGCTTTCTGGAAGGGCCTGAGGGCAGAGAGGTGCTGCTCGGGGACGCCTACGTTACCTTTCTCCGTCCTTCATCCCTACTTTGCCAGCCCAGGCTTTAGGTAGTGTTGTGACCTGCTCAGGCCTACGCCACTAACTTTAGGCAATGGCATATTTTTCCTTTGATAGGTAGGAAAAAACTGAGAGACTAAGTGACAGAATTGTTTGGCCAAGGGTACAGGATATGTTCTTCCTAGAAATGGGGAAAAAAAAAATCCAGGCTTCCTGTTGCAGCCTAGCACTGGGCTTGTGCTAGCCATGCAGCTACTTAGCCTAGGGGGAGAAAGCCTTAGGAAGGGCCTGTAGTGTAGCAAACTGTGTGATAGGACTGTTCCGTGACTTTCACCACTTATGCAAGTTTTATAGTCATCTAAAGATCTAGCATCTGTCTTCAGAATACCAGGAAAGGATGTGAAAACATTCCCATTTCCTTGTCCAATAACTTGTCACTTGCTATGACTGCAGTGTTTTAGAAGTATATCTTTTCTTGTGAAAAAAATAATAAACGTTTATTGAATATTTGCACCAGGAAGACACTGTACTGAGATATCTGCATTCATTATTTCATTGTATGATTAGAACAGCCTTAAAAGGGAGATTATGTTTTCATTCCCATTTTGCAGTTAGCATAACTGAGGTCTCGAGATAGTTTTTCCAAGGTTACAAGGTAAGTTAGCAATTGTTCCAGGTTTGGAATCTTGCCACATTCCAGGGTTTCCATTCTAAAGACAGTCCTGTTGTATAGTAACAATTTACTGAGAGGATGATCCAGTTTTGTGACATAGCAGATACCAAAAGATAAATAGCAGTTTTTTTTTTCACCAAGATAAACCCCGAATTCCATCTTTACAGCAAAGAATGTTTGACCCAGTGCTTGAGAAATAGAATGCAGGTCTTCTTAATCCCCCTTGTGCAATTGTGAAATTACTAAAATCTTAGTGATATCACATTTATATGTTGCTGTAAAAATAGCACAAACATTCCAGATAATTTGCTTCATAGAAAAGTAAAAAAAAATATGATTTCGTCACTCATTACAGTAAATACTGCTAACAATTTGGAGTGTATCTTTCCCATTTAATGTATTTCTGTAACTAGTTTTAATACAAATGTAATTTGCATTATTTAGTCCAGAACATTTTTCCTTTAGGCTGTCTTGTTTTAATAGCCTTCTGTAGGATTTAAAAATTATTCCATAAAGTAGAGAAACTACAGTTCAGTAGATAGATTGTAATTATTGTGAGTCCCACTGGTCTTGTCCCTGTCATCTGTAACTTTAGATTACTAATCACTCATCCACTAGAAACCTCAGTTTCTTTCTAAGTAAGGGATTCATCTTAATACCTACTTCAAAAAGTAGTTAGCAAGTCTACATAGATAATATTTGTAATATACTTCATATATAGTTTGGTAACAAACACTCAGTAAATGAAAATTTTTAATAATTATGTAATTATCAGTTTTATCAGTTTTGCAATGTTACAAATAATGTAGATATAAGTTTATCATATGTATGCCTTTTATGTCTCTGAGATATTTCTTCAGTCTAGAGCCCTAGATGTGAGATTTCTGACTTAAAATATAAATACTTCGGTAGATTGATAATGCATAGTTTTTACCCCATCTGTGTGAGTTTATAATTATGAAATATTACAGAGCTGGCAAACCTAAGGTACCTGTGCTGCAGTGGGCTTTTTGTGTCACTGAAAGCTCCAATAAAAAGATTTGCCATCAATGGATAGGAGTATCTAAGAATGTGGTAGGTGTTGGTGCTGAAATCCTGGATACACACACACACACACACACTCTCTCTCTCTCTCTCTCTCTCTCTCACTCTCTCGGATATTTTGTGCTTAGTTTTAATTTGTATTTGTTTCATTTCTACTGAGGAGTATTCTGCTATGTATTTGTTCTCTAGATTTATTTTTCCATGTGAATTGAGCATTCCATGCTTTTCGTATTTCAAAAATTGTAACCTTAGTATTTTTCTTAGTACTATGAGTCAGATAGTGCTAGTGCTATCTTTCAGTCCTGAGTAACTGTTCTGGTGGACATATGTCCTCATGGTAACCTTGTTACCTAGACAGTTTACTAAGACTTAAGGCATGAAGATGTTAGTGGCTTCTTCACGTCTGGGAATGGCAGGGCCAGAGTTTCAAATCTTAATGTATCTGACTCCAAAGCTGCCCATATGTCTTACATACCCAAATTTGATATAGTAAAGGCATTAATGAATATATAATTGTCTGCTTTTCACCTGTGCTCCAGATACTTTTCATTCTTCTACTTCGTTTTGACATATAAAATGACCTTCTTACATAGGGGTGGTCAGGGTTGGCTCTGAGAAGGTGACATTTAAGTCGCACGGTGAGCTTCAGCAAGAACTCTAAGGAGCACTGTTTCTCTAGAAGAAACAAAATTGAGATAAGAGCAAAGACCCTCAATGAGGTGGCTTGTGTTGTAGTTACTGAGACAATCATTGTGGTGGGGTGTCTTGAATAAAGAAAGGGAGACAGGTAGGACTCTGGGAGATCAGAAGTAGACTGAACCCTTTATTAGTATAGGTGAAAGTCTTCTTTCCAGCATTGGAGATTATAGGGAAGAGGATAACACAAATAAAGATAAGTTAGAAAGTCTGGTGCTTTTGTGAAGAATGGGAAGTAGTGGAGGAGACACAGAAGGAGAAGAACATAAGGGCAAGGATAAATGAAGGCCTTGAAATTCAGAATAAAGATTGGGAGAGATGACAGATGGCGTATCTCCAGTGTACCCTACTCTGTGAATGTAACTCTGTTACATTCAGATCCAAATTTTTTGTTGGGCTGTGTAAGGCCACTGATTATTTGTTGGCTAGAAAGTGACTGATGTGGATATGTGTTATACTAGCAAAGTTTATGGAGTGGATTAATAAATGTAAAGTAAGGAGCAGAAACATTGTCATTATCCAAATAAAAGGATGTAATTTAACCTGGATAGTACCAGTGGCTTGTGTGTTTTGGAGATATTAACCAGATTTGGCACAGGTTTACTTGTGGGAGCATATCAAAAATGACTTTTTAGTTTGGAAGGCTGGATGATGGTAAGATGACAGTATTGCTTGTACCTTGATAGAACCGATACAGGTGAGGTTTCCAGAAGAGAAGCATTTTCTGGAGAAAGAGAAAAATGGAGAGAGAGAGGAAGAGTTACTTACCTTCAGACATGATGATCTGAAAGATTGGAGTATAGCTCTCTCTCTCAGGCTTGCTAGTCTAAATTGTAGTCTGGCACCCAAACAACTTCATGATAAGGTTGTGAATTCCTGGGAGCAGATCATTTTGTCTCTTTTTCCTGTTGTATCTTGAATTGTCCATTTATGTGCCCTTCCTTACAGTGCTGTGACAGAAATCCTGTCCTTATCCATAGTTTACAAATAAAGAAACTGATATACACAGAGAATAACTTCTGTGTTTTAAGTGTTTAAACCTTCCAGATTGCTCTGCTTGTGAGAGCTATTGTTGTGTTTCGTTTTCAAGAAAACTGGTTCAGTCTGGTTCCAAAGTCTTTGCACCTAGCCCCTTTCCTGTGCTATCTGTTACTTCATAGATGTTTAGTTTTTTCACTTAGCACTTTGTCTTCTTAGGCCTGTCTCAAATCTAGCCTTCAGTCATAGCTTCTTTTCGAGCTCATTTGAGCAGAGACTACATCCTTCTCTTTCACTGTTATTTTTTTTTTTTTTATTTAAGGAGAAAAAGAAAAAAAAAATAGAAAAAGGGTACAAGTTATATAGAATTTCAGAAAACATAAACAGTAGGAAATCACTAGTTAATAGATTACATATTGTTATCTTAGAAATAGTTGTTCAAGTTACAAAATTAAAGCATATAAAGTGGACTTTCAAACAGTGAGACTGCAAACAGTTCTGTTCAATGATCCAACAGAACTCAGTAATATGATTATCTATCTTATGCACTTAAATATATATGCAGTTATATTCTTTAGAGCACTTTCTTTTCCTTTCTTTTGTCAATGACAATTACACATTTTGGGCTTTATTTCTCCCACAGTTCTTACTACTTTTTTTTGAAGAGAGTAAAACCAAATGTGCCGTAACAGAACAGAGTCAGTCAAATCAAAAGGATGGACATAATAGATAATGTAAAAACAAAATCCTAGGTGATCAACAATGGTTACCATACTGCCTCTTGCTATCTTAAAAAGAATTGCCTGTATTGCCAGTTATAATAAAATTGAACAAAACAGTAAAGAATAAAACCAAAACATTGGAGACATTACAGGACTTTCACTGTTATTTATGCACCTTCAAGTTTCTTCTGCTTATTTATTGATCATTAGGGAACTTGATCCATACCTTTCCTGTTCATCTCATTTTTTTTTGCTATTATTTTGAAAGATGTTGGCATTCAAGGGACAGATAGTAAGAGCTGTGCTTCTTGAGCTATAGTTTATGCCTGAATTTGATTCTCCTCTTGAGAGCTTACATTGTGACACTGACCAAGTTTATTCATCTACACTAGTTTTATTTTCCTCCTCTATACAGCTTCAGAGGGTTGCTGTGAAAATCCCATGAGATAATCCATGTAATTACTGGTGCCTGGTACCTGAGGTAGTAGAGTCAGTTTCACTAAGAAAGGGGAAGGAAATAAAGAAACAGAAAAAATCTTTGTAAATACTGGGCATTTGAGAATCATTTTGCTGAATTCTCATAGCAGGCTTACACAGTAGATATTATTGACTCTGTTTTTGTATAAGAGGACGCTGAATGTCAGTCATAAAGTAACTTGCTCAGA